GTTAGAGATAATGGAGAAATGAAAAGTGAGTTAAACCAAGACAAAGGTCTACAGAGGGTCATTCCTGGACGTGGGTCATTCCTGAGCACTCTAACAGCCTCTCTGTGCACAGCAGGAAAGAGGGACCAGCTGATTACAGTCAGTCGAAGAGAAGACTTCACATGTGGAAGACACAACAGTGAGGAGGAAGCCGACAGACAAAACTGGTGCAAATGGACGCAGCTGTGCGTCTAAACAAACAAATGAGGAGAGCACAGTCAGAGCCCAGTGGGCTTGGCAGGAAAGACCTCCATCAGGAATCATATGTAGATTTTTTTTTTTTTTTTTTTGTGGTACGCGGGCCTCTCACTGCTGTGGCCTCTCCCGCTGCGGAGCACAGGCTCCGGACGCGCAGGCCCAGCGGCCATGGCTCACGGGCCCAGCCGCTCTGCGGCATGTGGGATCTTCCCGGACCGGGGCACGAACCCACGTCCCCTGCATCGGCAGGCGGACTCCCAAACACTGCGCCACCAGGGAAGCCCCATATGTAGATTTTAAAGAACAAGAAAAGTAGAGACAGAGAGGAGGACTATAGCTAAGAGGAAGGTCAAAGAGGAACACTAATGAATTCTTGTTTCTGATAACAACACAGACAGGACAAGCACATCCCTCACCTTCTGTGAGGTTTGGAGAAAGAATACCAACGAGGCCCACATCCCATACATGTCACACATCCTAAGGTTTCTCCTCACCCCACCTACCCCAAGCCAGGCAAACACTGCCCATGGGCACCTCCGACACCTGCTTTGTCGAGCTCCCTCCAAGGCCAGGTTAGAGCTCCAGACAGATATATCACCTTGTTCCTGCTGACTTCTCATCCCATGGGGAGGGGCGTGGCTAGGGGAAAGCTAGAGCAGGGCCCCCTAAAACACAGATCCCAAGCTGGGCCCTCTTGTTTGGAACTATGGTTGACCCCGTGCTGGGAAAGGCAGCGGTCCTTGGAGAGAGAGCACAACTGTGGCAAAAGAGACCGAGGTCAGGTCCAGTTGAGATTCTAGTCCCTGTCCTACCTCTAAATGGATGATCTTAACCTCATCAGCCCTCAGTTTCCGCTTCTGTAAAAGGAAGTGATTAACAGTTAAATGAGATGTCTAAAGGACATTTCAAGTCTAAGCTCCTGTAAGTCTACAAATCAGGGCTGAGGAGAGGGATAGTGGCTCACAGCCTTATAGCCAACAGCATGAGGGCAAAATTAAAAATGAATGGAGCAAACTGGGCCACAAACACCTAAAATGGATGGGCGGGGCAGTAGATGTGCATCACTTGTGCAGAAGAAAAGGCTAGAAAGTGGGGGAAAGACAGGGTCTCTCAAGAATGAGACATGCAGCTCGGAGAGGCGAATGATAAGCAAGGAAGGCCAGGAAGACCCTCCGGCGCCACACACGGCCTCGCCTGGACTTTGCAAGTGCAAATGTATATCCTGATTGAGCACAGGAAGCAGGGCCCCCTGGGAGACCACTCGCTCTCCGCTCACACATTTCCTGGTGGCATGCGATTCGCAGATCGCCTTAGCAAGGAAGTGTGAAGGTGCCTTCCCACCGCTTCGGCTGCTCTTACGCTCCTGGGGTAAGGCTGCAGAAGTCTCCTCTCCTGTCTCCATCCTTCCAGCTTCCTGAGCTCAGATAAAAGGGGCTTTTTTGCCTAGAAGCCAAGAGCATGCTAATTGGCTGCTGCTGAGGCGAGTACTAACCGAAGAGTTGGGATTGATTTGGAATCTGAGGGCTCATTCTCATCTGGATAGATGGAAAGTCCCTCGTGGGGGGAGCACAGAAGTGGTAAAATGTAAAGAGGTATAATTTGTCTTTATTTTGGTCCACGTACCCACTCGCCTTTCCCGCCACATCGTGCCAAATGAAACAACGGCACACAAGGTCTCCCACCCCACTTCTGGTGACCCAGGGTCCTGTCCACTTCTCACAGCCATTTCTACCTCTGCCCAGCTACCTCCAAAGGACGCTAATACAAGAAGCACGAACAGGACACAAACACAGGTGTGTGTTCACTGGGCCCTACCCTGTACTTAGTTCAAACACTGGGTCACTCACACGGTGTGACGAATAAAGGGTCTGAAAACCTCCCCTTACCACGGGCCCAAAACACCAACTCCTCCTGACTGGTTTAGGGCAAGAGATTGCCACAGTTCATGTTACAGTCACCCTGGCTACCGCAGTGTCCTCTGGGGAGTGGAAGCCCTTGGCAGGAACAGAAGAAGAAGGGAGAAGAGGAAGTCGGGGGCAAGGAAGGCCCTTCCTTGTGTGAACAAGAGCGGCTCTGCTTTTCTTCCCTGACTTCTCAAGCCACAGCACATTCAAAGCTGCTGGACTGAGAGATTATGACTATAGGAACTATAGATAGCATCAGACCTATATGACCTATATGACTATAGGAACTATAGGTAGCATCAGACTACCCGTGGGAAGACTGCAGGTTAATCAAGTAGCAACCATTTCCACCATAAAAGGTTGTCTACCAGGAGAGGTAAGTTTGGAAGAGGGAAGAGACGGCACTTGGGCCTCTGGGGGAACCACAGTGGAGGCTCCTACAGTCCAGGGACAAGCAGAGCACCAGTGGCATAAGGTAGACGGTTTTCTCAGTCGGGGTTCCAGCAGGCTGAATGGCTGGGAGAAACTTCCACAGTCAGTGAAGGAAGCAGAAGGAAAACCACCGCTGGCTCTCAGGGAAGAACGCCAGATATGCCGAACCCAAGCTCAAATATGCATATGCTCCCGCAACTCATATTGCACAATAACCAATAGCATAATTAAAAGGCTGCGGCCATTATCGCAAAACATAAAAAACAGCTGCGAAACACGGACTGCTGTTACATAGAATCAGATGTGCTTCATGTCAGTGCTCCTCAGATAACAGCTCTTTATCAAAATCTGAAAGAAACAGGATTCTGTAGAAATAGATTTACTGAAATGAAAATATATACCCAGTGTTTTTTGTTAAATGGAAACGGCTCTTAACAGAGGAGGATGTACAATATAAATACATATACATAAAATATTCCAAAATGTAAACATCTCTCTAGGTGAAAAGACTGTAATTTTTTTCCCTTTTTAAACTGTATTTTCTAATTTTTTATACAATGGGCATATATTACATGTGTGGGTTTTTTTCTTTTTAAGTTTAGAAAAATATGATAGAGCAGGGTCAGCCTGGAGAGGGGCGGAGAGACCCTTTTGCCCAGGAAAGGTGGCAGCGACGCCGTCTCATCGCAAGCACCGACTGGTCTTTGTGCCTCTGCTGCCCCCTTGTGGCTGTGGATAGACATGACACCCAGAACCCCTAGACTAGACCCAACCTGGACCAAACTCCACGGTTATGTTGGACGGATTCCTCTTCCCCTGTTCACCAATTCATGACATGGATTTGTCTCATTCATGAACACAGGACTTCTGCAACAGCAAGTGCTAGGACAGGGGAGTGGGAACACTATCAGCTCAGGACGCTAACAAGATGGATACAGACGCTGGTGGGGTTCAGGACCCTGAGAACCACTCTGGCAGGTGTAAAGGTGGAGATAAGAAGAGAGGAAGCCTCAGGAGACTAATGGCCAAAGGCAACCATGAAACCGGAAACCTGAAGTCGTACTGGAAACCAGCTCCTTTGCCTCAGGGGATCAAGGTGATACCACATGGAGCTGGTGACATTTACTTACTTCTGTTGTTTGTCCACAGAGCAGTAGAGGTGATTGCCCTTGACTTGCTCTATGACCACACATTCCCAGAAATGCAGGGAAACCCAGTGGGGTCACAATGTCCACTGTTCCTACTGATGGTATTTTTACCTTATGACTAGATTAGCCTGCTGTTTGAGCAACAGACCATGAAGATTTAGGAAATGGGAGCCAAATTGAAATGACACGCAAATAGATTTACCCTGATCCCTTAGCATTTGCAAAATTGTTACTAGGCATTAGTGCTAAGCCTTAAAATGATGAATTAAAATTTTGCTTACCTAAAAGTCAATTTTTCTCTGCTTGGATTGTCAGATCTATAACAACTAAGGGCAACAGGATCCCTTGACTAATGAACACTTTAATTTTCAAAGCATAGGCAGGCTCCGTGAGCGCACGCACATGCGCGCGCGCGCACACACACACACACAAACACACACACGATGAAACTCCCCAACCGCCATTTCTCAGCCCTATACCTTAACCCCTTTCTCTTGCGTATGACTCTGGGTAAAGCTCAGTATGCTTCTCCTACACCAAGGCTCCAGGACCAGATTGCCTGCCTTCAAATGCAGCCTTCTAGCATTTACTGCGTGACCTTGGGCAAATCACCTAACCTTTCTGAGTCTCAGGACCTCCTTTATATAATGGGGATAGTAATAGGACCAGCTCATAGGGCCATTAGAAGGTTAAATGAATTAATATCTATAAAGTGCTGAAAACAGTACCTGGCACAGGAGGTGCTAGAGGAACTATCCTATAGTTATTTTTCAAAATGGGCTTAAAATGTAATTAATTAATTAACTTTTAAAAACAGTAATTAAAAAAACAAACTTGGTATTCTCTCCATTTTTTTTTACTAAAAAACACCATTTATTACTCAAACTGGGTGACAAAAAAGTGGTCAGGCCCTCTTTGTCCACCTCTTAAGTCTGATGTCATTTTCAGGAGAATCAGACTCATTGACCTTATTCTTTTCCAAGCCTCTTCCTTAACCCCTTCATCATAGCCCTTATCAGAATCAGCCTCTTCATCAATCCCACGTATTTTAGGAAAAGTAAAGGACATGCATGTGTGTGTGTGTGTGTGTGTGCATGCACACACACACACACACGGGAGGAACAGGTGAGAGAAGTGCGACCATCCTGAGCATCCTGACACAACTATCCTTTCAATGTCATCTCCTCCCTTTTCCTCCCAGCTCTGGCCCTGGATCTCCCCCTCTTTCCCCACCTTCCATCCGGCAGTTGTGTCGGTTCCTCACGCCAGGGACCCTCACCTGTTGGTGTTCTCCAGAACCTCCACCTTTTTCCGGAGCTCGGAGTTCTCCGTTGAACAAGACTCCACCCTACAGAGGAGAGAGAGAGAGAAAAATAAACTTAGTTTTTTATCAGGGGAGCAAACACTAAGCCAGGAGCTAGGATGGAGGCAGGTGGGGTTGAGAGAAAAAAGACAGGGAAGGGCTTCCCTGGTGGCGCAGTGGTTGAGAGTCCGCCTGCCGATGCGGGGGACGCAGGTTCGTGCCCCGGTCCGGGAGGATCCCACGTGCCGCGGAGCGGCTGGGCCCGTGAGCCATGGTTGCTGAGCCTGCGCGTCCAGAGCCTGTGCTCCGCAACAGAAGAGGCCACAACAGTGAGAGGCCCGCGTACCGCCAAAAAAAAAAAAAAAAAAAAAAAGACAGGGAAGCAGCTATTCTAGGGAGGTGTGGGAGAGAACATGGCCAACCTGAGTTGGGGAAAAGGGTGAGTAGACAAAAGAAAAAAGAGAGAGAGAGATGGGTAACCAGTGCCTCAGTAATGTAAAATGAATAGGGATGGTACAAAACATAAACTTCTTTTAGGGTGTTCCAACCTTGATTTCTCTCGACTCTTCCCTATGGCTCTCAATGTCCATCACAATTCTCCCTCTATGCTACAGGGTCTGGATGCTGCTGGCTGTACTCTTGACCTGAAGGACTGACAGGAAGCCCAGGGTCTTGGGGCAGGGGGAGAGTGAAGGACAAGAACCCGGGACCTCAAGACAAGGAATCCAGATGCCGGAGCAGGCATGCCCCAAAGAGGCAATAAAGAGATTTTCATCGAAACATCTTGACCCTGGATACCTACAGACAATAACAAACAGAATGGGACTGCTTAATGCTATATTACCAACACTTAAATCAGGAAGAAGACACACTGACTTTCAGTAGGAACTTCAAGAACCAGCCAGGATCCACCAACTGCTCTTCTCACCAGACACACATAAAGATTCATTTCTAGGTCCCGGGACTCATTCCAATGGTATTAGTTTGCCAGATGGGAACTATTTTCTAGGGCTAATACAAAATTGTATTTAATTTACGTTTTTCTAACAGCGCTCCTGATATTCCAGGCTATTCAGAAGAGCACAAGGTGCCTTCAAGTGTTTTTGTGAAAAGTCACTCACCTATAACACAAATTATAGTGGACAGAAAAAAGAGAACGCCAACCTGCTTTACTTACTTCATCCCCTGTTGCTTTCTCTAGCGTGCGAGGGTGTGTGGCCAACAGGAATTGATTACTTAGCGCCTCTCCTCTGAGGAGTCCAGGAATATGCATGAAGGTTAGCATTTGTACTTATTTGAAAGGAAGCCTTCAGGGACTTAAGGACCCTTGGTTGGAAACTGTGCGGTACAAATGCCTACTAAGACTGAATGTACTTTTTATCACCTGCCAGATCTATAAGCTTTCCCCTCTAAAAACCACTAGGTGGCAGGCAAAACATAGCTGATAAACCAACGGCCTTTGCCGGGGTCCAGGCCAAGAGATTGAACCCCCTTCTCATAGAAAGCAGGGCCCCCCCGCACTTACATTTCTCTACATGAATTGCTCAATACACACAACCACTTTGGCAGGAGGCTTACTTTTTCTCCAAACTGTCCATGTATTCCTTCTTCTTCCTCCTACTTTCCTGGGCAGAAATCTGCAATGGAAGGGGAGAAAAAAGGATCATGTTCCAGCTATCTCAGTAAACCAGTATTGACAAGAGGCCATGAGCAAAGAAATCACAAAAGCCCTGCTCACTTTTGTGGCCGCTTCCCATTTGTTTAACCTACTGGCTCATGTACTAATCACCTCTTCTGTCCTCCCTGGTTTCAACCAGCTGATGTTCTCATCTACTTTCAACACACTAGGCCCCCAGTGAGAAGGACAGTGGTCCAGGAGTCAGAGTGGAACATGTGGGTCACGAACCATCTGTATGGTCTTAGATAAATGATTTCAATTCTGTGGACCTAGTTGGCTCAACTATAATACATAATATAAGCCAGTTGGGGTTAGTCGTATAAAAATTCCCTGGCGGTTCTGCACATGGACGAAGAATTTTAACTCTAAGCTCTTTCCTTCCTCTCTCTTTGTCCCCTCCCTCCTGCTCTGCCCACGCCCTAGCCATGCCCCAGGGCCTCTGCACCCCTTTGCAAGATGTAGGGGCCTAGGACTAGGAGACTGCTGGACCCAGGTATAGAACAGTGGTCTACAGAATTTTTTATCAAAAACCTCTATCAAGAAAAGAAATTAAGCAAGCACCCATAATACATTTAAATTTATTCATTTATAAATTATATACATGCCTACTAGAGGGAAATATTGTGTATCTAATACAACAAATTTTAAAGGCTGAGATTTTTTCAAAATGTAAATGGGAGTTCTAATATTTTCTTCCCGCCCCTGTATGGGTCATCTTAGGCACCACAGAGTGTGCACGCCCGACCTGGAGGCCCACTGACCGGAAGATGTATGGGGAGGTCTGGGGGAAGACAGGGGCAAGCCTTGGTCCCCACCACGGGATGGGCCAGTGTTGGCCACCGGGAAGGGAGGGTGCGCATGCTGGCCGGGTTTGCTCGCTGTCTCTGCTCACAGAAGCACCTGCATTTGAAGGGCTCACCTTGTTCTTGATTTTCCTCCGGATTTTCTTCAGGGCCTTCTCCTCTGATTTTGTCAGGGGCAACTTGGTGGGGATGGGATAGCCCTCGGCAATCAGGGTCCTCTTCTCTTCCTCCGTCAGGACCAGGGGGCCTGATCCCTGCAGCTTCTGTGCAGACCAAGGAGCAGAAAAGGGTCAAAGAGGAAAAGCCGGGCGTGCCGGAGAAACACCTCCTGAGGGGTGAGGAGGGTCTGTTAGGATGTCTTGCCAATGGCTAAGGGAAAAGGAGGCCCATCTCTTTTGGTGAGAAATGGGCACTTTGAAGTGGAAGCAAAAATGCAGAAGACACTCGTGTGAGTGTTACAACCCAAGGATTATAAGGGAACGGGTAAAGAAACCTCCACCCATTATTTCCCAGACAGTACCCTGCTGGCTAAAACAACAAAATTAAAGGATACAATTCATTTCCCACATCCCTAGAGATTTCCTGTCCTCGGAGTGATGAAGGATTCACTTGGAACTCTGTTTGCGGAAAGTTTTGTTGTTCTCCTAAAGATGCCATTTTGCAAGATGCTCTCTAAACACTAGGAGTTGCTTCTTGACCTCTACTTCCAGCTAAGGGGCCAGGGCTCCTAGGGACACACCTGCAGGCATGTTCCATGAAAGTCACTGGTCAGCACAGTCCCAGACTGTCCATCATAGTGGAGATGAGAACTGTAGCTCATCTCATTTCACCCATATTAGGACAATGTGCTTATAATTAGTCAAATAAATGGAGTACCTACTGCATATTAGCTCCACATCAGATGCACAGAAGAATCAAAACGAACTCCGTCTCTTAAGTAGCTAATGATCGAGACCGAGACTAAATTGAAACACGTGAAAGAATGAGAGCAATTAAATGCTAGACTGTAACATTCACTCAAGGTACGTTAAAAATATGAAGGAGAACGCTTATGTGAGTTTGTGTGATACGGGAAGGCTTAGGGTAGCAGATAAGGCTTGAATTGGGCTTCCTGAAAGAAAGGGGGTGATTTACACAGAGGAGGGCATTACCACAAAGGCAGTATTGTAAAAAGTAACTGAAGAAGCCACTCTGCGTAGAGGGGTGAGGAGTTCTGGAAGCAGCGGCAGGTTGGGCATGTAGGAGGGTGTTTGTACCCAGCAGAGGTATGAGGGCTTGATGCCAACAGATAACAGGGAAACAACACAGATGCTGAGCCAGGGTATGATATGGGAAGGATTTCCTCCATGACCACGTGGAATGGACTAATTGTGGTAGGACCCACAAATCCATAGGATGGACACTATTTCAGTAATCAAAGGAGTGAAGGGTTAGAGGAGAGAAGGCAAAGGTGGAGTGGAAAGAGTTAATTCCCTGGCCCTCGGGAATAGTGATATATAAGAACGTGGCCACAGATCTAGAACTTTCTGAGTTTCTGACATAGACAACTCAAATTTTCAAAATTATGTTAATTAATACATGATTCTTCGAAGAATTTTTAAATAACTCATTTCATTCAAATTTTCTCTATGTGATATTATAAATTCAGTAAGGCTGACTAATTTTTAAATCCTCATAGAAATCAATCGACTGTTCAGAACAATGAGAAGTTAGTTATCTAACCCTAATTTTTTTTTAATTTATTTATTTTATTTTATTTTTGGCTGTGTTGGGTCTTCTTTGCTGCATGCGGGCTTTCTCTAGTTGCGGTGAGCGGGGGCTACTCTTCATTGTGGTGTGCGGGCTTCTCATTTTGATGGCTTCTCTTGTTGCAGAGCACAGGCTCTAGGCGTGTGGGCTTCAGTAGTTGTGGCACACAGGCTCAGTAGTTGTGGCTCGTGGGCTCTAGAGCACAGGCTCATTAGTTGTGGCACACGGGCTTAGTTGCTCTGCGGCATGAGGGATCTTCCTGGACCAGGGCTCGAACCCGTGTCCTCTGCATTGGCAGGCAGATTCTTAACCACCGTGCCACCAAGGAAGCCCTACCCCTAATTTTTATTTGGAAAAATTATATATGTGAGGGATGAATGTTGACTCATGATTTCTATCCTGAGTCACTGGGTTAAGAGTTGCACCACAGACAAAAAGGGTTAAATTATATTTTTGAGCTTTAGACATCAATGCATTTACTCTCAGAGCAATTTTTCAGTTCATCAAAGATTGCTTATTTAAAAAATAAATTATTTCCTATCATAGGTCATAAAGACCACCTAAATTGATGATAAATATTTGTGATACAATTTTGAGAAGAAGAACAACCCATTTTTATTCCTCATGTTTGTAGCTATAAAAAAGAAACATGTGAATAAAAACTGGAAGTGTGCACAGGAAAGGAAGAGAATGTGTTAGCACGATGAGGTCACAGGCAGGTCTTAGAAAATGTTCTTTAAGACTGTCATCCCCCTGCTTCAGCAGTTAGACCTAAAACTTCCTACAGTCTCCAAATGGTACCCACGCTGGGTGAAGGTCCGAGTGACAGAATGGGGGATGGGGGTGCAGGGATGCAGGGGACACTCACGTGCGGTGCGGTGAGGAGTGGGGAGCTGGCAAGTGCCGAGGGGGCCCGCGCTGGGGCCCTGGCGGGGCTGTGGGTCTGCGGCAGGCCAAAGGGGTGCAGGCGCGGGCTGGGGCTCAGGCTGCCCTCTGAGTCGCTGCTGTGGCTGCTGGGAGGGGTGGGCGGTAAGTGCAGGTGGTCCACGGAGGCTGAGGGGAAAAGAACGGATTGCATCCATCAGGGAGCAACAGAGCAGGACTTGGGGCAGTTCAACATTCAACATCCCTCCAGCAGAACTCAGGACAGCCGAACGAAAGAATGAGGAATCTCCGTGTGTGGATATGGAAAGGCCTCCAAGATGTATTACTATTAAGGTTAAATTTTAAGAGTGTTTCTTTCAAAAAATTTGAAAGGTTGCATTATTGGGTTCCAGGTCCGCAGTCCTTGATGTGGCCTCGTGGCAGGTGCTCTTGGCTTGATTTTCAGGCTTTATTTGGGATACATTTTTGGATTGGGTTTTTCAGTTTTACTTTGGTCAATGGGGGTTTCAGTAGATGTGACGTTATTGTCTGCTGGTCTCAGCCTATAGAGGAGCGGAATAAATCAAGGTGCAAAACAGTGTATAAAGTGGCCCTCCTTTTGTATGAAAAAGGAGAGAGAGAATACAGACCCCCATTTGCTCGTATCTTCGTAAAGAAACTCTGGAAGGTATATAAGAAACTAATAAAATTATGATGTAATGGGGGCAGGGGAAATTACAGTAAGTAGGGACGGTGCTGGCATAACCTTCCCTCTGTTCATTTCATATAGTTTCCATAGTTTGACTTGTAAACCATGTTAATGTATTAGGATCTTTTTTCTTTTTCTTTTTTTCAATAGCAAAAGCAGGGAGCCCATGAGTGTTTGAGAAAAGCTCATTTGTTTCTGGAGGAATGTGCATGGTAGGGCCCATAGGCCAGATGCCAGGCATTCTTGATTCAGATAATACCCAATCCATCTGTGGATAGACAGGTAGGAATTGGAAGACAAATTGGGGGAGGGGTGTCTCCCACAAAGTCTTCCAGCATCTAAGCATCCTTCACCTCTCCTCAGGGAGACACCCACACACCCTGCCGGGGCCTTTGAGCCTTAGCCGGTGCCAATCTTGCATCTCCAGGGCAGGAGGGATGGGTTCCCAAGGGAGGAATCCACTCTGGAGTTCAACCTGACAAACGAGCTTTGGGGTCTCACTCTTTTTCTGACCTGCAAATCTTCACATTGTGCTGAAATACCTTGACAGCCAGCTGCCGTTACTGAGCCAAGGAACATGACCTTGGGTAAACCTTTCACTCCACACCCCTCCTGGAGCCCCCAGGACAACAGAGCCCTGAGTGCAGTGGCTCTGAACTGGGCAAGGAGCCTGGAGGCCTCATACACACCTGGCCTTCCACAGCCAGAGAACAGCTCGGGGCCATGGAAAGGCCTCGGTCTCCAGCCTGATGTATTGTGAATGGGAAGAGACTTTCTGACACACAGCTACTCACCTAAGAGAAAGGATTCCCCCATAGCTGCCTTTGGAGGTGACAAGCTGCAACCAGACGGCTCTCTCGCCCACTAAGACACCTGAATATCCAGGTAACCACAGGTGATGTGTCTCTCTCTGCCACGCCCCGCGCCCACTCCCATTCACAGCACACTTTCGTTCTCTCTTTCTCTAACCCTCTTTTCTCTTTCTAACATACTGCTTTTCACTAGATGCTTCTCCGCCCAAGAGCTCCCTGGTTTTTTAGAGTCCATGGGCACTCTTAAAGCTAAAGAATATTCTAAACCAATCCTATGCATCTCCACTGCCAACTCTTCTGCCACCACTTCCAGGCAGCTAAGGAGGGTAGGTATGCGCCTTAAACTTATGTGCTCACCTAGGAAGGAGTCCCAAGCATGTTAACCAAGTTTTTCCCAATGCCATGATGACCTATGGCACTCTGTGGTGTCAGATGAATTAAGCAAGGAAGCCATCAGACTGGGGTGGCTCCAATGCTCTGGTGGCCCTACGTAGGCAAACCAAAATCTAAGCCTCTAAATGCTTCAAGGTTACCAGACTGAAACCCAGGACAACCGGTCACAAACAACCAACTTGGCTTTAAGTTATATCCAATCAATAATTTCCTTACTTTGGGCTTTCCTGGTGGTGCAGTGGTTAAGAATCCGCCTGCCAATGCAGGGGACACGGGTTCGAGCCCTGGTCCGGGAAGATCCCACATGCCGCGGAGCAACTAAGCCCATGCGCCGCAACTACTGAGCCTGCGCTCTACAGCCCGTGAGCCACAACTAATGAGCCCACGTGCCACAACTACTGAAGCCTGTGCGCCTAGAACCCATGCTCCGCAACAAGAGAACCCACCAGAGAGAGAAGCCTGCGCAGCAATGAAGAGTAGCCCCCGCTTGCCGTAACTAGAGAAAAGCTTGCACGCAGCAACAAAGACCCAACGCAGCCAAAAATAAAATTAAAAATTTAGTTAAAAAAAAAATAATTTCCTTACTTTGCTTCCACCTTTTCTTTATAAAAGTCTCCCCCCAGCTCCTGTCGGTGGAAACTTGTAACTGGTTTGGCGCTGCAGAATGTAATTAATTTTTGCTCAAATAAGCTCTTAAAATTTTTAATTTTTTAGAGTTTATCTTTTAACAATGCTTATCTTTTAACCATGGTAAACAAAGAAACAAGCAAACCAAAACCAAAACAAAACAAAACCCAGGAGTGGCCAAACCTAACAGGGGCTCCCGCTGTCAGCCATGCTGAGCAGTTAGTCTAGAGAACTAACCAAGAATACCAGAGCTCGCTTGTCCCTTTCACTAGGCACAGCCCTAATTATTCTAATACCGTTCTCCTTTTTCCAAGCAGAAGGTGCTCCACAGAAAATGAAAATGGCATGGCAGGAAAAGTGAAGCAAACTCGAATCTCCTCTTACTTAATTATTAAGAGCTACTGCCCTGGCCACAGGTGCCTCGGTATCAGATTTCTAAATATCACTTGAAATGTTGCTCTTGGATTACTTACTGACAGGGCTGGGGACAACTGGCTACTTTGCCTAGAAGCCCTGTTGCATTCAAGGATATTTAATTTCCTCCTCTCTGTACATCTAGGATAATGAGGAAGGACGGCCATTTACTTTACCCTTGAAATGTTTCTCCTCCAGTGATCCCAGATTCCAAAGCCACTAGGGGATTCACTGGTACAGCTGTGACATTTTCTGAAGCATACTGCAACATAGATTTAAAAAGCAAGATGCATGTGATAGTTGTAACCGGTGTCACAAAAATGAAAGGAATTACTTTGGAGCAGTATATAAAGCTGAAAGGCACTAAAACGTGTATCACTCAGTGAAAAGAAATACTGTCTCAATATGGATTTTAGTCAGTATTTCTAATTTTAAAAACAGAATCCTTTCTTTACTGATGATAAAGGGTAAATACCCACCTTGATTAAGTTGTCACGGATCAAGTCCTGAGTATGTTTCTGGTGGAATGAAGGTAGACTTTGTTTCCGTGAGCACTGCTACTAGGTAACATCTGCACATTACATCTACCCAGTAGCACGGATACCCTTCCCATGACAAGTGCATATACTAATTTCCTATTTGTCGACCACACCAATGAGCTACCCTTCTAACCTTGTGCCAAAAGCATAAATAAAAAGGGAGGGGATGGCGTGTCTGAAGGCACAGAATTAAGAGCAGGATCTGTGCAAAGTAACTCAATTAAAAAGGCTGAGAGGGACGTCCCTGGTGGCACAGTGGTTAAGAATCCACCTGCCAATGCAGGGGACACGGGTTCAAGCCCTGGTCCAGGAAGATCCCACATGCCACAGAGCAACTAAGCCTGTGCGCCACAACTACTGAGCCCAAGTGCCACAACTACTGAAGCCCGTGCGCCTAGAGCCCGTGCTCCCCAGCAAGAGAAGCCACCTCAATGAGAAGCCCGCGCACTGCAACAAAGAGTAGCCACCGCTCGCCACAACTCCTGAAGCCTGCGCGCAGCAACGAAGACCCAACGCAGCCAAAAAAAAAAAAAAAGAAAGAAAGAAAGAAAGAAAAGAATAAAAAAATGCCGAGAGAGCTTCCTAGACTCCGTGAGACTTAGGGGTCTACGTTCAGGAATCCTGACTATGGGCTTCACACGGGACAAGAAAAAGACTGACACAGAGAAAGAAGAAAGTGAAAGTGTGATAACCCCAAGTGTGACACTACTTAATTCTAGATGGATGGCAAGAAGCCCAATAGGATGCAGGCACAAAGGAGGCTCCTTGCAACAACTGTCATCTGAAATCAACATTTAAAAACATTGAATTGGTCAGACAGATAAACCGTGAATTCACTTCACAAAGGGTTTAAACTAGAATTGTTTGTTGTAAGTAGGCCAGGTGCCTTTGTGGATATGTGCCTATTTGCCTCTACTGATCATCACTCCAGGATAGGGAGCTGGGTTTTATCCACACGATGGCTTGAGGGCAGCGGTTCCCTTGTCCCCTTGTCAGTACCCAAGTCACAGCAGTCTACGAACATGCTGAAAAGTCACCCTGCCTAGGAGTAAAAGTTAAAGATTTAGCTGGAAAAACTTAGGTTTCAAAGTTTGTGTTTACCATCAAGAACAGAGCTATTTCATAAAGCAAGTTCTGCCTTTGGTACCATCAAGCCCAGCACTGTCTCGCACATTCCCCATCTCTTTAGACGGTGCACCCACATCTGTTAACCCAAAGGAGAGAGTGGACAGACCTTCCTTAGGAGAGAAGTTTAGGAACTGATCCACTTCATGAGGCTCCAGCTTAATCTTAGGAATAATTGTCTGGCACGAGGAATCAACCTAAAGGAAGAATTTCAAACACAGTTTTTAAAAACCAATAACAAACCTGAAGAAACACCCCGGGGAGTTATTTGTCATCTGTGTCTTCCTCCCAGGGCAGCCCTGCTTCTCTTGGGCTGGCGAGGCCCGGCCGAGTGCAGGCTGCTTCTTGGACAGGGAGGTGTTTTAGTCCTTAACATTTCCCTCATTGCCAAACCTGGCAATACAGGTGATGGAACCCTCAGAATTCTAAAATTAAGAACCCAGGGCTCGGGAGTTCCCTGGTGGTCCAGTGGTTAGGACTCAGCACTTTCACTGCTGTGGCCTGGGTTCAATCCCTGGTTGGGGAACTGAGATCCCACGAGCCTCACGGCGCAGCCAAAAAAAAAAAAAAAAAATCCAGGGCTCACTTATCAGTGCTTTCTTTCTATTGTTTTTATGGACTATAAGGGCTTTTATCACAAAATAGTCTGGTACATTTTTAAGGGTCATGGCCTCCAGCAGTGTGTCCTGCGGCAGGAACTGTGTGAACCCAGCTGCATCCATTCTCTCCAGGTTCCTGACAACTGACAGCAACTAACCATGAAACACTGAGTACGGGAAGGAGGAAAGGTATCTGGCCCGTGCATGGGGAGCAAGGCCATGACCCTGTCCTTTCTTAGTGACATGCATGAACATGAACTGAACTAAAATCTCATGGAGCAAGGAGACTAATACAGACTCCAGAAGCCTAGTCCGATTAACAGACTCAGGTAGCTATTGAGAAGGGAATTCTAGAGGGCAGTGCAGAGGTGCTCTGTCCACAATCCCTCATCTTCCACACGGATGGAAGGTAAGAGCACAGGAGTGAGTACTCAGCAAAGCCTTAGTGGCCCCACCACTGCTGTGTTACCTTTTCCTGAACAGGTGGACCACTATACCTCGCTCAGAGGAGATCTGACTTAAAGATCGTCAGCAGAGTCATTGTTTATAACCTGTGACTTTGAACTTAAGGAAAGTTAGGACTGGATTCCAATATCTGGAAGAAGATGTACCAGTATGACTCTGGTCCATCACCAGACACTGAAATACCCAAAGAGAAGGTGGAGTAAAACTAAATCCTACTTGCCGTAGGTGTGGAACTGAGCAAGGAAGAAATTCCAGATTTCTTACGTTTTCCACGGGGAATACATTAGGAATTGGTAGGTGGGAGATCCCTGAATTAAGTCAGGGTAACTGAGCACTACACAGGAACTAGCATTCCCTATTGCCACGGCACAGAAAGCCATGGATCGCGTCATCATCATAACCACTCCCTTTCCACCGGCTTAAAAATCAGTTCCAGGGAGAATCTTTTTTCCCCATGGATATCTATGTATTTTTAAAATTTTGTAATAGCAATCATAGAAAAAATGAAATGAGACTTGCTACCAATTTTTCTGGAAATGCCTTTAAAGGAAGTGATATAAGCAACGCTGACACCAAATCAACATATCCTAGATATACACATAAATACATTTTTACATACATACATACATATATAGTTATATATCTTTAAACATATACAACCACTAGCTCCAAAAAGATTAAGTGCCTTATTGGAGAATGAGGATCCGTATCTTTTGATCCAACCTGTTTATATGGAGGAAAAATGAGTATACCCCAGCGTTCATTTCCAGAGGGGGTTCCTCCTTTTCAAAAGGGGTAGAGATGGCAGTGATGGTCAGAGTGACAGACGGAACTAGTCCTGAGGGCGGCTCGTCCGTGATTGGCTCTGTCTTGATGGTTGTTGATGGAAAGTCTGTAGACAGGTACCATTTCTCACTCTCCACTTCATCTGTGGGAAAAAGATAAGCACATGTGTGAATCTGTTCAGGGCATCAGGTATAAGTAAAACAAATGGCACTGATCTTTTCCTCAAAAAGAAGCTCCAACACAGAATTATTGTGGGTAGAATAAAAGGAAATAAAACGAGGATGTGAGAGAGGAGATAAATGGATGAAGAAATGAATGGCAAAGTGAGAATCTATACTTGCATTCACTTGAGTGTAAGGATGCCTAAAGCAACTCTGGAAGGATACATATGAAAGAAAGAAACTAGGCTCTCCGGGCAGAGCAGGAAGGAGACTAGGTGGATGGGGAATAGGATAGGAGAGAGAATTTCAGTGTGTAGCGTTTTATACTTTTTGGTTTTCAAACCAATTAATATATTATCCAGAAAGAAAGAAAGAAAGAAAGAAAGAAATGCATTTAAAAATAAGAAGGAAAGAAGCGAATGGTTGACAACTAGGGTCTCAGGAGACAGGACTGGAGACAGGTCTCTGTCCTTCTCCCCAATGGATGGTTATTTGTTTTCTTCTTTTTCTTCTCACTCCCCATCATTGGTCCTAGTCTGCTTCTCTGCAACGTCGCTTATGCCTTACACCTGACCTAGACTTCCAGAATTTTACTTAGCCTTCTAGGAAACTTCAGAGTTTGTAACAGACATCTGCCCCTTGCTGAAATGGATGAAATGCTCATCCAGAGGAAAGGGCGGCATCTTGTCAAGGCTGGTCTTGGCTTGCCTCTGGCTTTCGTGACAATCACAGGCCTGGGGATCACAACAAAGCAACAGCACCGAACAGACAGGAGCACCTCCTTCGCTCAATGACATTCTCCTGGGAGCCTGCATGGTACCCTGCATTTCTTACCAAGTTACATCAGAGCAGGTACCTCAGCATCGCCCTGGGAAAGGAGGGAGGAGGGCAGGAAAGGGAACAACAGCAAGAAGGCTGCAAACAGGTGCAGAACGAGAGAAAACAAGTCAGAGATTCCCAAGGTCAGCACTCCTCACCTGTTACCAGTTTTACTAAGGTGAGACTAAAATAAAGCAAAGATCTGCTCCCTTGCTTCATGAAAAACGTTTAAACACACACACCCCCCAGGTGCTTCGTGAACTATTACTATCCAGGGGAGCAAAGTCATTCACATTATGAATTATTTTACACTCAAGAATTGGGCTCAACTTTTCTTATGAAAAGGTACATGAACATCATTCAGAACTGTCAAGACGGCAGTGGAAGAGTGGGCACGGAAGCGAAAAACTAAAGTTCGCAATTGTTAAGGTTGTATTTCTTTTCTTTTTTTTTTTTTTTTCAGTACACGGGCCTCTCACTGTTGTGGTCTCTGCCGTCGTGGAGCACAGGCTCCGGACGCACAGGCTCAGCGGCCATGGCTCACGGGCCCAGCCGCTCCGCGGCATGTGGGATCTTCCCGGACCGGGGCACGAACCCATGTCCCCTGCATCGGCAGGCGGACTCTCGACCACTGCGCCACCAGGGAAGGTTGTATTTCATAAGCAACTTCCTTCAAACACAGGGAAAGCTTAGATTCACATGCACCATGGAAAATAATTTTCCCCCAAATCCAATTTCTAATTGACTCAATTAATTATTCCAGCCCCAATTTACTTCCTGAGGTCAAATAAAGACAGGCAAGACTTAGGTTGGTTGAAGGTGTTTGCTTTTAGAGCTGGTTCTATGGGGCTGCTGAGTGCTATGGGGTGATGGAGGATTTCCATCATTCTCGGGGTGTGCGCCACATCCTGGCCGAGCGGGAGGGGCAGGTAACAAAGGTCCTTTTGAAAGCAGCCAGAGGATGGAGACCACACTGTACTTGATGCAGAACCCTGCTGGGCAGATGGGCCCCCTAGCTCAGCTTGGGGAAGCAACTGGATGAGGAACCAAATGAAGTACCTAACACCACTCCCAGAATGAGCTTAGGCATGAGGTCTCTGCCACCTGTAAGGAAGACACGCTTAGGACAGATGTGGGGAGGGGCTGGAGAGACAGAGAGAGCACAGATCCCATTTTCTCCACTCAGCAATGATGTGTTCATACCTCTGCCTTGTCAACACTTACAGCCTGTCCACACTGAGCAATATTTACCCCTAGCAGAGACTGGAAGAGAGACAGTAAGATGAAATATAGTCTCAGTATATATTAAAATTAACAGTTAAGGAGGCATCCCTGAGGAAAAGGTCACATGCAATTACCAGGGAATGGTGAGATAAGGCCAGATCCCATGGCTGTGTGGTTACAATTACTGTGACGAAACATAATTCACAAGGCACAATAGGTAAAAATAAATACAAAAAGCAAATACAAAATTACAAGCAAAATAGAGACAGGTAATGAAATTAGTTCTTCCAATCTGGCTAAGCCATTCTCAAAGTACACACATTCATAAAATAGGTCAAGATAGTCTATATTCTTTTTTTGGTTTTTTTTGTTTGTTTGTTTTTGCAGTACGCGGGCCTCTCCCTGCTGTGGCCTCTCCCGTTGCGGAGCACAGGCTCCGGACGCGCAGGCTCAGCGGCCACAGCTCACGGGCCCAGCCACTCCACGGCATGTGGGATCTTCCCGGACCAGGGCATGAACCCGTGTCCCCCGCATCGGCAGGCGGACTCTCAACCACTGCGCCACCAGGGAAGCCCAAGATAGTTTATATTCTTAATGCTCAGTGTCCTACACCCCTATTTTAAAATTTTTTATATAATCTTTGCTGTATCAGAGATGGAGACTGAAGGACAAATAATGACATGTGAACTATGAAACAAAACTTCCCCTGAACTCTTCCAAGAGAAAACCCCAAGGAAGCTGCCTCTCCTCCCCTGAGCCTTTTGGGGACAAACCACTGGTGCTGCCTTCATGCTTCCATTTCAGTACAGCAATATATTACTCTACCTTGAAAGATGTTTTTTGAATTAGAAAGAGGTTTAAGGCCATCAACCTCAGATATGTGTTTTTATAGATGAGGAAACTAACATGCAGGTCTAAATCACACAGCAAATATGTGGCAGAACCCAGATCTCCCGATCCATTAAAGAAACAACTAAACATGTAGATAAAGATGTGTGCACAGGGACTTCCCTGGTGGTCCAGTGGTAAAGAATCTGCGTTACAATGCAGGGGATGTGGGTTCGATTCCTGGTCAGGGAAATAAGATCCCACGTGCCGTGAGGCAACTAAGCCAGCGCGCCACAACTACTTAGCTTGCATGCCTCGACTAGAGAGCCTGTGTGCCACAAACTACAGAGTCCACACACTCAGGAACCTGCGCACCACAACTACAGAGCCCACGTGCCCTGGAGCCTGCGCGCCAGAACTAGAGAGAAGCCCTGTGCCACAACAAAGAGCCTGTGTGCTGCAACTAAGACCCAATGTGGCCAAACATAAAATAAAATAAATAAATATTTTTTTTAAAAAAAAGATGTGTGCACAGGGCTTCCCTGGTGGCGCAGTGGTTGAGAGTCTGCCTGCTGATGCAGGGGACACGGGTTTGTGCCCCGGTCCAGGAAGATCCCACGTGCTGTGGAGTGGCTGGGCCCGTGAGCCATGGCCGCTGAGCCTGCGCGTCCAGAGCCTGTGCTCCACAACGGGAGAGGTCACAGCAGTGAGAGCCCCGCGTACCACAAAAAAAAAAAAAAAGATGTATGCACAAATATGCTCACTGCAGCATTATTTATAATCACGAAACACTGAAAGTAACCAAAAGAGTAAAACGGAAGGGCAAAGTGAATGAATTAGGGTACATCCATACAATGGAAATGTTATGCAGCCAGTAATGTTACATGTTTAAACCCTTCTTAATAACAAGGCAAAGAGTTATGATAGAATATTAAGGAAAAAACCTGAATATAAATTTATGTACTATTAATGAAGAAACTGATAGGAAAAAGAGACTGAAAGGAAATATGTCAAAATAGTAAAAATATCTCTGGAGAATAATTCAGAACATGAGTGACTTTTTTTTCTTCTCTAGTTTCATACTATTTCTAAATTTCCTAGACTGGGAATATATTGTCCCTGGATGATCACACGTGGACATAGCCTGCTTCTGCCTGCTCTGCTTCGTATTTTATGATGGTAATTATTACATAGAAGCCTTAGTGGGTCAAGTGGCCCATTTAGAGTCCCTTGACTTAAGAAGAGTCAATGAGTACCTTAATATATGTTATAAATTGCATAACTGGCTCCAGCTCTTCGTTTGTCCCTCTATCCCTGTCCTTTGCCATGTAATTTTGCAGTGCCTCCCACTGGGGACTAATCCCTACCCTGGGATTGGCCACATGACTGGCTTTGGCCAAGAGGATGTTAGCTTTGCAACACAAGTAAAGTCTTGAAATGCACTTGTACAACTGAACTTACACACTTGTACCTTTGCCATCACACTTATGAGAAGGATGTGCCAGGACAATCTACTGATCCCAGAAGGAGGACAGACACATAAATCAGAGTTGCTCCCAGATGAGCCTGGCCAAGATCAGCTAACTGTCAGCCTTAGACGTGTGAGTGAATCTAGCTGAAATCAGCAAAATCACCCAGCTGCCCCTGACCCTCCACGCCTAAATCAGCCAACCTCCAGCCAAGGCACAGACATGTGAACTCTAATAACAAATGATTGTTGGCAAAGCTAATGAGTTTAGTGGTGATTTGTTATGCAGGAATACAGCTGGCTGATACAACACAGCTGCATGTGTATACAAGAAATTAAATCCATTACATCAGAACCTATGGCAACAAATAGTTACACCTTGTTCCCATAATAATTCCTCTAAACCACCAACTGTGAACCATATCAATAAATATTTGTAGACTGACTGACTTGATCTACCAATTATATAATAAGATAAATGATTTCAGTTGAAGAAAGTTAGCCAGTAAGAAGTTTGGTGAGAACATTCCAGTGGCGGTTGAAATTAGAGAAAAAAGCTTTCATTCTGAACTACTAGGTATTGACTTATACTCTGTCCCTCAGTGGATCAAATTGGAGAAAACAAAATGACAAATGTAACCT